TGGACAAAGTATGCAATCTGCTTTAAGGTCTTACCTCATAAGCTCTTCACATGGAACAGTTGTTTGTTTACTACAGTACTATTATAAGATAAATTATGGCATTCTTTTATGGGTTAAATACCTAAGAACTACCCAAATCAGGTATTTATATTTTACAATTTAAAATATATATATTCATTCTTATTGAACCATGTCACAGAAAGCATAGTTGTTTATGTGGTCTGTCATTCTTGAGTCCAGAGAATAAAAAAAATAATAAAAGTTGACAATTATATTTTTCGAGTTCTATGTATACAAATATTATTCACTTCTGTGAAATGTTAGTTACTGCAATTCAATAAAATATGTAAATATATATTGTGTAATTCAATGTGTACAGATATGGAACTGAAATAACAGTTGTATACAGTGGATTGTAAAATGCTATAATGTCATGTATGTGAGTGTGGTATAATTCAAGATGTTCTGTTGTGGAGATAGACAGTATTGGAAACAATGTATCATTAGATACACAAAAAATCCAATGTTAAGAAAAATGTGACTAAGAGAGAAAAAATAAAATTCCCTGTTTCTATGGGAATGAAGTTTCTAGATATACATCCCTAAAATTCTCTTCAATTAAAAACCTATCCTGTGGTTAACAACTAATTTTTTCACATACAAAAAAATTAATTTATCTATGCAGTTGACATACTGGATAATTATAGCAATCAAATCTGATTGTTAATATTAAACAAACCAAACACTGAAATAGAAAAATCATATCTTGTCAGGTGTAATGTCGCCCTCTAGTGGTGGTTTACAGTAATGTACATCCGCAGCAGCACTGTTGGGGGTAGTCTGGTGCATGCACTTTGTGTTCAAATCCATATACAAAGTACGAGAAACTATTGTTGTTCCAATGACAATGGATGTTAGCAACTGGAATAACTCGAACTTTATGACGCTGAAAAAAAAAATGGTGAAGAAGAAGATTTTTTTTAGACAAGATTAAGGGAAATTAAAAAAAAAAATGTAATAAACATATTTAAGTAAAAGTAAGTATGTTTATAAATGTAACAGTAATGGGTCAGCATCTTGTAAATACACGAAGCTGAGTGTGTTTATAAACTGATTTCTATAAATTTTGCTTTGTATACACAATTGACAACTTTCGAGTTAAAATATTAGAAACTTGGATGCAGGGGGGGGGGGTAATATACCAATTTCAGCTGCATGGGGGGGGGTGATTTAGCAGCATAAATGGTCAATGGTTAACTAGAGCACCAGGAATCAAGAAAACCACCTAACAAATTGTGAGAGGTGGAAATCAACGCTCCATTCTCACCTGGACACCAATTAATTGCGTTATAACTTGAAACTCTATTGTAGATGATAATGTAATAATGATTAGTAGTATATAAGAAACACTGATATCCAGACACTTCAATGTACATTCTTGTAAAAATAAAAGACTATACCTGCATAATTATACGTTCTGCTTGAAAACCCGTCAGGTGACGCTGTACCAAATTTTTAGATGCTTCATTGATATTTACATCTGGAAAATGATTGATTGGCCAAACCTATATAAAAATTTCATTGTTTATATAATTTGTATTTAAAAAAAAATAATGTTCACTGTTTTTTACAATAATTTTGTATACCGTATTAGCTGTATTAGCAGCACATCTCGAACAGATTACTAAAAGCACAATAAATTGCTGTATGTATAGAATATTAGTAATTTTGACCACAGAAACACCTCGGTAATTAATGCAGATATGGTAATTAAACTTCCTTTGACAACACTGATACTGTAAACTATTTAATTTCCAGTGATGGGAAATTGACTACTGTAAAACATGTCTTTTTCGCAAACATGTCTTTCTAGCGAATTTAGCACCAACAATGTCTTTTTTTCTCAACATGCACTTTGTAATAGCCCCCGTCACACCATAACGTTTTGGTCAGCGTTCTCTGAATGTTCCAATCGTCCAATTTCCGAGCGTTCTGGAACGAGGTAGACACATCCAGCGTTCGATTAACGAGTGCCCCTAACGTATGACTAGCGTGTTCCTAACGCACGAGGAGTGTGTAATGAGCGACCAAGTAAGATACCCCTGGAAATCATTGACGTGTGCTAACGTGTCACTAGCGCGCAACGAATGACTTTTAAACGTTAAGTGAGCGTGTTGAGCGTGTATCTATCGTTAGGTCGTTAATTTGACGTTAGTCGCACGCTTTATGTGCTCTAGGGGTACGTTCAGCGGTCGTTGACAGGTCGCTAGTGAGTTGTTCACTGCAAAGCGAGCGATTGGTAACAACTAAGTAACGCTAGAGCAACGACTGACTAACGATTGTCTAACGCGTCAAACATTAGCAAAACAATCGAAGAATATTATTTAACGTTTAACAGCGTTCAAAAATAAACGTTGAAGAACGTGCATGTTCAAAACTTTTTTTTTTTGATCAGCGTTCTCCGCCGATTCCCGACGATCAGCAACGATTACCGACGTTCCCAGCAACTTTGGGCGACTACCAACGTTTCCTCAAATGCCAGAGAACGCTAGCCAGAACGTCATGGTGTGACTGCGCCTTAAACAATACAAAAAAAACGTACTGACATGATAGATACACTTGATTGAAAAGTAAATTAACACAAAAAATAAACGTATTCATTGCGGTCATTATTTTAATGAAAATAAATAAATAAATGAAGTAATACTGATATATTATTATGGGAATTGGTAGTACTTAGTAACATAAAAGGTCAATGTTCTGGATGTAACGCAGCAACGATACCGGCTTTTTCAAACCCCTGTTGAATCTGTTTTTTATCACTGCAAACAAACTCAAATTACACTTGACAGTTTTTCTTTGTTTTTATGGAGATGATACGGTACATTTGTATTGACGAACGACAGACATGTATTGTGAAAACAGGGAATCAACAATGACAAGAGAAATTCGCAAAATTTTCGCTATTACATCATTTTACCACAGTTCGCGAAAATTGCATGTCGCTTTTTCAACATGTTTTAAAGTATTTTGCAAAATTGAACTGAATGATATTTTAACTTCTATAAAACATTACAATTGTTACTGACTCATTAACATATAACCATCTACAATAGTTTTCTAAACATTTCTTGAATGTCTCTCATATACCATATTCTATTACTATAGAATTATGATTATAGAGCAAATATGTTATAGCTGACATATTTTTTTTAACTCTACAAAGCTGTTCATATAGGTGACTTTCAGATGTCCATCAACAATTAAATTTTTGACTTATTCTTGAAAAGTACCAGCTCAATTGCTTTGATACTACCAATAGATATTAAGTACCTTGGGTGGACCTGTGTCATATTTGCTTGTTTTCGTGACAATATCATTAATTCTCTATTTTTAGCATATATTTTTTCACATTCTTAGTTATATTTTCGGCTTCGTTTTGTATTCTTGTAAACAGGCTCATTGCTTTGATACTAATTATGTAGGTATCACGGGTCCATTAACCTATTGATAGATTTGTTCATTTTTTGTGAATGTATTTAGTTCTTTATTTTTAGAAAATATTTCTGTTATTTTCGGTAAAAAATGATATTTTTGACTTATTCTTGAAAACTCACCCTTGATTTAAAAGTACATGTACATGTAACTTGGTGGACCTCTTTCAGATTTGTTTTCATATCATTAATTCTCTATTTTTAGCAAATATTGTTGATTTTATGGTAATAAATGAGATTTTCAACTTCTTTTTTTAAAACTGATTTCTGTCATGCTTGATATGTACATTAATTGTACATACTTTTTTGTACTTGGATCAGCCATTTCTGTTTGATTATAATATGTAAATTTTATTACAAAATTACTTCTAACAATTTTGACTTCTTAAAAACTATTAGCCTGATTAATATATTTCAGGTGTAAATAACTATTTTTTCAAGAGGGGATGAGGGGGATGTGTGACAATATAGAATATTTGACATCATCTATGTTTTAATCAATTGGTTGTGAACAATTTCTTTGACAAAGTTAAGTCCATAACAGCCAGAAGAAAACTGTTTTTTTGGGGGTTTTTTTTTTGCATTTTGAATTATGGTTGACTATTGCATGACTTGGCTGACACAATGTTCTTATAGGACAGCGTAGCTTTTTCAACCGTTGGATTTTTTGTTATAAGTTGATTAAGCTTTCACAGAAGTTTGTATATTGTTGACACTGTTAACTGTTACTGTTAACATATTCCTTAGGTTTTTATACACGTATGTATTTATCAATTTCATGAATGAAACTGAAACGAGATGTTTCTATTGGCTGATGAAATAAAATTGTTGGATTCAACTGCGTTCTGACATTTATTATAAATATCAAGGGAAAAAGTTTACTGCCTAATTAGTAAATGCAAAATATAAACTTAGTCTTAATATAACTTGAAATTGAAAACCTTGATATATACTGTGTCTAATTCTCAAAACTCACCCTAGGAAGTTCCTGTTTGAAGACAGTCTCGCCAGACACAGTGCGAATTAATTCATCTGGCAATGAAGTTCTTTCCACAACATGGTCATCATGGTGAACAATCCTAATAAAGTTGAAATAAAAACAAAACAATAATAATAATAATAACAACAACATTTGCATGTACACAAAAAATTAAGTTAGTTTTTTTAGATGATGGTTCCCAGAGATGAAAAAGAGAATACAATACTGCAATGGGGTAAGTTTATGCTAATCCACTTGTGTGTGGGGTGAGTTCACATGTGTAGGAGTATACAATTTTTAAAAATGTCAGATATCAAGGTGCATTGTAGTTCTCCCATAATGCATTTCAATTATTTGAGGAATAAAACTAAAAACAACAGAAATATATAACAGTACACTATTTTTACCTTGCCTGTATTACTGTAGATACAGGGAAAGGAATATGAAGGGAAATGTCTGTCATTGTTTTAAAACTTTATCTTGTGGTTACAGTTTCATATCTAATTTCTTTCAAATATGGATATTATATTAACCACTTTGGGATGATTTCAATCAAGTTTGATTTTGTTACGTAATCAGTGTATATATCTCTCACAATAGGTCATATATTGCACATATATTGAATTACATTAAGTTAATGAAACATGGCAACATTTTCATGCATCTTATCATATGTGCATAATATTGGACTTCATTAATACAGCAGTGATAGCAATTCTACTAATCATATTTAAATTCTCAGATACAATCAAAGTCAAGCAGCATGTGCATGGAGGTAACTTAAAGAATTGTAATAGAGTTTTCTGATTCACAAAACATCAAATGCAAAAATGTATTATATAATAAATTGTACTTGATGTATTAAACAAGGTCCCTTCGGATAAAACATTAAACAAAATCATCAAAACTTGGTTCACGTGTTTTTTTTTTATGATTAGCAGTAAAAGCAGGGCAACTGCATTGATTGTAATTTGCATAATGAGGTTGCTTTCCCATTCAATCAATTAGCTGTTTTATATTCAGTAGAAAAAGATTATACTGTGAAATACTTTATTTTCGCTGGAATTAATTTTCGCTGAAAAGACTTTTTGGGTGTTTTGTATGGAATTTATTTTCACTGATTTTTGACGAGTTTAATGTAAAACATAGGAAAAAAAGGTATATTCGCTGGATTTTATTTTCACTGAATCATTCCTTCAGCGAAAATAGCAAAAATTAATTCCAAGTCATAAGCTGTGTAAATTAATAAATAAAATATTACCATTCAATAGTCAGTCTGATGAAGCACTTCAGTTGACCCCTAGCATTACATGTATGACACGCAGTGTGACCATGACCATTGCAGACAAAGCACCTGCAGCAAAAATGTAGAACATCAATTATTGTTTTACTTTTGCAGACATGCACTGTGTACAACAAAATGATTCAGGAGTACTTCTTACTCTGCACACTAAGTTTTTTTTTAATAATATCTTCCAAAACATACATGCACTGTAAAGCGCACAACAAAAACAAAACTAACCTAATATTTTTTAATAAAAACAAAGCTTTGCAGATTACCCCTTAAATGAAATCCACAACCGTTCACATTTCTCATGCATTAGGTATAGATTGAAATGTGTTCGTGAACAGTACGCCATCTAATAATAACACATGTAACGCATGTTATTCAATGTTAACCCTAGCATCTCTGATTTGAAAATGGATACATTTGACATTTGTTTGACAAGTTTGACAAACTGCAATGTAGAATACTATATTCAAGGATTGAGGATAATGATCGACGTACATACATTTTTTCCAAACAATGTAGCAAGAAATTAATCTTTATTTACAAATATACAAGTGGTCTGATTGGTTGGAATCAAATCTTAAAAACTTCTAAGTATATGTATATATATTTTAAAGCGAACAAGATTCTCACCGTTTTCTCCCATGGCCATGACAAAAATGACAATGGCGTCTCTCATGATGACCATTGATATAATGAGTTGAATGACCGTGTCCATGGCAACTATGGCATCGAGTCTGAAATGATATACATCATAGTAACTATAGAGATTGGTTATACAGCGTCAGAAAAAATGAAAAATAAATCACTCACCATAGATAGTATTCATAATTGATAATTCTATAGATATACTTGTGTGACAACTAGTTGATATGTAAGAAATCGCATACATCAACACTGAAAACAAATTTTGTTCTTAGCTTATTTCCATGATGTTAACAACTTTTGGCAACCTGGGCCATACGTAACTCAGGTTGAAATTATGAATCAGAAATTACAATTTAGATACACGTACAGACTCAAAATTTTAATCATATATAAACTAGTTTTGGTAATTTGTGCCAGGCAACAGTGCCACATACTGAGTGGACACGTAAATGCCAATTTAATAGGCTATATATCCTGGTCTGTATGTAGACCTAAAATAAACGAGATTCCCCCAAACTATGTTGGTTAATGAATCTTAGCCAATTGTCTTTGACATACCCACTACATCTGTGACATTCTCACACAAGGTACCAGTTGATCCCTTACTTGTTTGTGTTCAAGTCCAGATTTTAACTCTAGAACCCATCAATCTTAACAAGTTCAGAGCAAGAACCACTACATACTGGTGACCAGTACAGTCATGCAAAATTGTAACTCATTAATGTATTTACAGATACAATAATTACTAAATATTGATACAAATCGCAACGATTAATCAACTTACCCTTCCTCTACCATGACAATTATAACATCGTTTTCTACCCAGACCAATACAGTCATGACAAGGCTAAAAACATAAATATTTCAGAAATTTAAATTTAATCTGTCACAGTCACAGTCACAGCGTACCATCCTTTTTTGTAATGTTGGGTGGGGTATAGGCACGTATCATCTTTCACATGAGTCCTCCTCCTCATACATTATGAAGTTTGATCAAGAAGATTGATAAAAACAATAAATGTAAACATCCAGACATCACGCATATAGTGATTACCTCATATTAATATATTAAGTATACTATGTTACATTATTGAAATAAATCATACATATTACGGCGAGTATTTGTTAATTACCTTGACAGATGCTGTATGTGGTACTTCCATATTTACAGTGTGCGACTGAAATAATGCAGGAGGTCTTGCCTCTATATCCCACGGAGATGGCGCTACACCATTGAATGACCCATCAATTACTTGCCCTTTCATTGAAAAACACAGTATTCATTCAAGCGAAATAATAAATGGAATAATTCTAGCACAATATAAATGTTTACTTTTTAATACAAGTACTGTTTATATGTAAATAACAGGTGTGTGTATGTGATAATTTTTCAATGCTCACACTTGCAATAAATGCATTTTTATTTTCAGAGATGCACTAGAGCAAAATTGTAAACCAATTTTCTAAGATTCAAATTTGTGCAAATTTGTGTAATTTATAATTCAATGCAGTTACCAGATATAGAACAAATTTGCATATACTCCCACAAAATCACCATGTATGGAACACATTTGTATAAACTCTGACAAAATCACCATGTATGGAACACATTTGCATATACTCCCACAAAATCACCATGTATGGAACACATTTGTATAAACTCCCACAAAGTCACCATGTATGGAACACATTTGCATATACTCCCACAAAATCACCATGTATGGAACACATTTGCATATACTCCCACAAAATCACCATGTATGGAACACATTTGTATAAACTCCCACAAAGTCACCATGTATGGAACACATTTGCATATACTCCCACAAAATCACCATGTATGGAACACATTTGCATGAACTCCCACAAAATCACCATATATGGAAACATTTGCATATACTCCCACAAAATCACCATGTATGGAACACATTTGCATAAACTACCACAAAATCACCATGTATGGAATACATTTGCATATAAACTCCCACAAAATCATCATGTATGGAACAAGTCATTGTCAATGACACGTCCCCGTTCCGTTCATATTTGAGTGACATATACATTCAAAGCAGATCATGACCGAAATGCACCTGCATATGTACAACACATTGTTCTAAATCTGAACAAAATCCATCCATGCATGACTGAGATCAGGTTCCGGAATTGTGAAAATACGTGATTTTGATGCATTTTCGGCCTTAAAATGGCCATAATTCAGCTATTGTTAAGCAGATCATGAAACAAATGCACATATCTATTTGTGACATGATGTACCATGTGTGTGTGAAGTTTGAACTTGATCAATCCAGACATGTCTTGGATACGGATCCAGAACTGAATTTATTAAAACAAAATAGCCGCCAGTCGGCCATTTCGAACTTGATCCGGAAAAAAAATGACGTGCATCAAGGTCCTATTATGTTCAATGTATGTACCAAATTTGAACAAAATCCGTCCATGCATAACTGAGATCCGGGTACGGAATGGTGATAATGTGCGATTTTGCAATGCATTTTCGACCTTAAAAAA